GAGAAGAATTTAAAGGAAGCAAGACTTGTTTTAGCCCTCCCTAAGCTCAAACACATGCAGATTTCTAAGCAATCAGCCTTTTCCCCTTGCAGGCTAAACATGGGGTGAGGAGTAGAACTTGGGAGGTGCTTTGAATTTACAAACCCAGATAATCAAGAGACATTAGGACTTGGGAAAACGTGTAAATCCTTCCAGTATCTCCCGAGGAGAAAGACAGGAAAAGAACATACCCTCCCTTCTACTGCTATACATATTTGCCACTGCAAGCAGAGCACAGGCAGAGGAAGAAATCTGACTCATCTGTCCAGATGCCCTGGAAGTGGTCAAAATATCCTAGTTCCCCATGCATGGGAAAGGCCCTTGGTCTGCAGGCCCTCAGGGAAGGGCTGTCATTGCTCTGCAAGGGATGAAATGCACACCTAGCCCTGCATGCTAAATAATTAACACTGAACATGTTTACAAATTGAATTTTCTTTCTGCTGTCTCCATTCATCTCACTCAGGGAAGATGAAGAACCTCAGGAGGCTCTTAAGTCCTCCAAGCCTCACCCCAGCAGCCGGCATGGCAAACGGTGGGGAAGCACCTTGCAGGAATATGGGAATTGTTCCCACCACTGCTGCGGCCCAAAGCTAGGCTATATTGTCCCTGTCAATATGGCAATCCAGGAACCTTCTTCGGGCACTAAACAGCCATGCCTCTGATGAAACACACCATTCCCTATACAGCATCCATGGAAGCCTCATTTCAGGATGAAGAACAATTTGCTCCTTAATTGGAGATAGCAAGCACATTATAGATGCTGCTATATGCCCCAGTTAGTGTAATTTCTGTCCTGGGAGTTTCCCATGTGCCTCCTGTGGTCATTTAGATGGACCAAGGTATAGTGAGCTGCCTCATCTAGATGAGCCTCCATTCACCTGCAGACAGCCTCTGAACTTCATCTTTCCTTAGGCCAGTGCCCAAATGAGAACTCTGACAGGTTTTGATAGCTGGAAACTATCAAAAAAAGTTTAGATATGACCCAGCTCTTCTGGTTTCTGATTTCCAGCACCGTACCAAACCAGAGTAGAATGAGTAGAATTCATTTTAAAAACTTATTAAGTTTGAGTGTTGATCTTATGCATTGTATTCAAATGAAAAGTGTTTTCCAGCCAAAAGAACAAAGGCAGCAAAATCCAAACTTGCATTTTACATGCTTAGTTCTGCATCCTAAGTAATTATCAATGAGCATATTTACAAATCAGGTGCACACTGCACCTTTAATTTATTATATTTTGGCAAGAACCAATTCCTAATTTCAATGACAATAATCTAAACAGTAATAATTCCAAGTCACCCAGTGGCTCATAACTTGTTATTGACTTAATCAGGATCTTAACAGCCTTCTTGTGCTGGGGATGCAGTAAAGAACAAGAGAAAGGTGGGAACAGGAACCCAGGGTAGCTATTTCATTGCTCCATGAGAACCCAAGCTGCTCTTCCCTGTCAGTTTAGACTCCAGGAAACTTCTTTCCTTCCTAGTATGTACTCTGGCATTCCAGCCATGGACCAGATTGTCTTCACAGCCCTTGCACTGGCTGCCTAAGACATCAGAAGAGCAGCAGGAGGCTTTGCAGACACTTGTCAGTACTGCTAAGAATACAACCATTTTGCAGGAATAAGGGTAGCCTCACAAATAGAAAAAGGGCAACAATTTCAGGTATATTTCTTCTGATCTATTCCTAGCATCACGCTATGTTCCTTAAAGGAAATGGAAATTATCTTTCACTATAAATTACATTTTTCAATATGAGAAAAAGAGATGTGTAGGAACTGATGCAGGGGTCATTCAGCTTGCTTTGAAGTAAAGTCACATACCTGCAGAACAGCCGAGCAGCATACAGATTTAGCTGGCATAATTCAACACCAGATAGGCAAAAAAACATCCGAGCTACAGGCACAGTAGTTGAGAACATGGAAGAATACAGCCTTTCTACAGATTTTTTTTTCTCCTGATTCTTAAGACAATTATTCTATTTCTGTTAGTCTTTCCTATTAGCCTGCCTTCATGTGGGACCATTCCCAGAAGAGACTTGATCCTTTCTACCACCCAATGTATACGGAAGTCTAAGAGCAAATTCATTCTGCTAGAAGCACAACGTGGAGACTGCCAGATCCTTGCAGGCCTTTCCAGCTGACTTTGTTCATCTCTGTCTTTATGCTCTTGCCATCTTGTTCCAGTCTTTTCCCCTGTTTCAGATAGATAAAAATTGCCAAGTGCCCATCCTCCTTAGCACCCCTCCCTGAGTCCTCAGGCATCACATGCAAGAATCCCCATAGCCCTTGTTCCCACACATCCTACTCCACTCTAGTTTCTTACTTTAGGCTCTGTGTTCCTTTTGGAGGGACACAAGTTACTCTTAGGGCTGGATAAGATTTAGGTACCTTTGGTCTTGTCTCCTTGTCTGCTCATTTTTGCCCAAGACCCAAAGCAGTTACAACTGCTTTGAGGCAGTTGTAACTAATTATAAATTTGGGTTAAAGTACCATCAGTTATTTATATGGCTCTTTACACTGCTCTGGCTTGCAAGAAGGACAGATATAAAAGTCACCACTCTGACAGCCACTCACTGCTTAGCAGCTGACATATGGACTGACTCCTTGAATCCCATCCCTTGACAGCAGGGCAGACAACTATGCATTAAACATTTAGTGCAGAAAGATCCAAAGTATTCACATCTCATCCTCTGCAAGGCAGTTCAAGTTTGACAGCAAAGCCACAGTTGCCACATGTCACGGAAAGAGCCACGAAGGGATCAGGACACTGCCAGGATCTTTGATCCATGCAGGGGTCCTGCTGGCTGAGAAATGCCCAACAGCCCTGGGCAGTTCCCATGCTAGAGGGGAGACAATAAAATCTCAATAACTCCAGCTAATCTGGCCAGCATGGAAGTTTCTTCCTGACCCAAAGTTTAACCTCTGATGTGTCAACCAGATGCATCATCCAGCATCTGTAGCATTTTTAATTGCAGTTCAGCAACAGTATAAAGCCCCTGCAAGAGGTGCAGGGCAACTTTATGAAATCACTGAATAACAGGACAGCCAAGGGCATCAGGGAGTTTTGCACACGGAGGTTGCTGTCCACCTGGATGCTGCTGGCAAGATAAGGCTCTCTAATGTGTACAGTTGGCACAGAGATAGTGAAGGAGGCTGTAAAACCAATGGCCAGAATAAGGAATGCCAAAGCAATTTCCTTCTCACTTTTCATACTCTTGGAGGGTCTTGTTCAGCTCCATTTTGATGTGATTGCTTTGGGATTTGATGCTAATAAGGAAGAATGTAATTGCAGTCTTGGTATTCCCTCTGAAATTATAAAGGATACATGTAAATAATTTGAAGGGAATAATCTTTTCCCTGCACGTTCCATAAAGGAAACCAATGGGGGAAGAACCATACACATGCAACGATGTCAGCAATACCCTCCAGAGAGGTGTTTACATTATATCAGCAGGCACTGCACTAGGTTGCATCCTCACCAACATTAATTCACAGGCAAGGCTGCCAGAGACTGGAATGATGCTGCTATTCACCTGTTACTTTGACTTAGCCTCCCTTACCCAGTAGGGTCCACTGGTTTCAGTTATCAACATACCTTGGGGAATCTTCAGGCAGGAAGCAGTTAAGGATAAAGCTATCCTTGATCAGCTTCAACTTTGTCACCAACAGCCATAGTTCACAACCCTTCCAAACAGTAGTAGAACTTCTTACGAGGAGATAGAGTGGTGTCTTCGTCAGATAAAATAAAACAAATAACCATACAGGAGATACCTAAGTAAATATTTTTACACCAGCAAGAGTGTCTGAGAGAAACCAGCTCTAGGGCACAGTTTCCTCCGTTGTAGGCCTGGTAGCCAATGCAGACCTACAGAGAGAGACTTGTCTAGCTCAAATTAGCACAGCAGAAAGGACATAGAGCAATGGGTAAAGCAAGCAAGGTGAAATAGCTCTGCCAGCTCCACTCCAGCACGAAGCAAGAGGAGAGCTGCCTGGCAGACCCTGTGCCGAATGTAGAGCATGGTCCCATGGTTAGCAGTAGATCTCTGTCTTAAAGGAAGCAGGGAGTCCATTGATAGCAAAACAGAAGAGGAAGCAGCATTTTGCCTTTAAAGCTAAGACAGCAACTATCCTCTTCTCTTAGACAAGCAGCACAGGGGCTAGGAAGTGTGCTGCTCACAGACACGTTACAGAGATTTACAGGAGACCAGTTGTGAGAGCTTATCAAGGCTTTTCTAAAATATATATGTGCGCTAAATAAAATATCAAGTCATATAAATAGCTCTGTCCCAAATTCATACCCCTCTGCCATCCTGGTTCACATCATCAGGGATGCCAAGCTCGCAGCCAAACTCACTAATGGCTCTATTGCCATCAGGGGCTCCAAGGGGAGCAAGGCAGCCCCGAAACCAGCCCCAAACTTTGCTTTAACCACATGTATAAACCTTCTGTTCAGTTGCTGAGCAGCCGATGCAGCCAAAGTTTTGCTGGCAGCTTCCAGGTCCGAAGGGAAGGTAGGAGTGTTACTATAGCACATCCTAGCCAGAGGAAAGTAAAAGGCATCATTCAAACTTCAGGAATTTGTTCAACGTCTTATATGCTAAAGTGAACTCAAACACTTGGTTATTGCACAACTCCTGGGCAAGGATGGCAAAAAACATTTCACCTTAAGAAACCTTGTTATCGCTAAAATCAGGGACACTAAGGATCTTCATAGAAGCACTTTTGCTGATGCTAAGTGTTTTGAGGATGGCATGCTCCTCCATGCCCATTAGGTCCAGTTGTAAGAGCATTTTATTTCTGTGCACTACTGGCCCCCAGCATCTGGGCTGAGACCACAGCCCACACTGCACTAGAAAAGTGCCTTGAGTTCATTAGTGCTCAGTCAAGTTAGGCTTTTAGCAGGTAATTTGGATTCAAATTCATCATCAGCTAAATATTTACTGCCCAATACATGGCTTAACTTACAGAGCTAAATTTCTGAAGCCATCGAGATGGGTGGCCAGCAGGGTCCATTAACAGCAGTAGCAGCACAAACTGCAGTACTGTGGAGCACCTAGCAAAAAAAAATAGCTTCAATTTACAGCACAACTGAACAAACTGGGAAATAAAATAGCCCCAAGTGTTGTCTGAGACAGTAAGCTCCTTTTAACAAGAAGATTAAGTGAAAAGCAAACAAGAATGTCTCTAGGAAGGTGCCAATCTCATTTTCCTAGAGACTTAAACCTATTAATACTAACCTATCATACTATATTTTATGCAAATCATTACCATAATCCTATGTGAATACAATTCTCCTTCAAGTATGTATCAACCTACTACATATGTGGATAGAAATAAGTGTCGCTGCAACTCATGCCATGCAGATACATATAGCATACTGTATCCCTGCATATGAGGGAATGTTACCAAAATATTTGTCTGCAATATTACCTAGGCCTTTATGAAATATTAAATCTGGAACACCTACAAAGTGAACATCTGAGGGGAGCACAGTCCCGTGCCAGCATGATAGTCTGAAGTTAAATGCCCATGCTATGTTGAAAACTTGGTGAAGTGAAAGGTCTGCTTTACACACAGGTAGAGCATCCCCCCATAAAAAAAATCCACTTTGAGACAATGTCAAATAAGTTTTATTGCCACTTTTCCACACTTTTTCAGTTCTCCGATTGTCACAGACCTCAGACAGCAACCACACTTGTCCACACCTCAAAGGCTGAGACAGGCATAAAATGCTAGTTCTGCTTATGCCTGCGCTATAGGATGTGTCCTCCATCAAAAGCCAACATTAAAGACCACCAGCGCTGCTCCCTTGCGTTGTGCACTCACAGCACATTACTGCACAGCGATACCCACACCGGGTCTGAGCGTGCCTGCATGCTCTCCTCAGCCAGAGGTGAGGGGATTTATCAGGGCTTTTCTTGGCAATGGAAGTTCTTAGATGAACTTACACCCTTCCATTAGCCTGTTTTGCTCACCTTCCACTGATCACAAAGCAGTAAGGGCGTTTCATCCCCAGAAAACCTCCTTTAATTACGTGGCTTCAGTCATCCAAGTTTAAAAGTGGAAAGCGCAAGCGTCACTTTTCTAAGATTGCCTTGTTTAGAACTATATACTGAATATCCTTACCAGCATAGAGAGAACAGCCTTACCATCATAGCTACTAATCAGAGGCCACTTCCATTGTGCTTTCTTCCAAGGACTTGAGCTGCAAAGAACAGGAAAACCATTCCAATACCTCAGTCTCCAGACAAGTTAGGGTCATCCAGCCCTGCAAAACAAGTCCTTCTGCCAATATCTAACGTTTAAGTTTGTCAAGCTGCAGCTATGGAAGAAAATAGCCCTCAGAATAAAGCATACCAACTAAAATCAGGTTCTGACTAGATGAGGTGCATATATATATACATGCCACACTGAGAAGTGCCCCTCTGCAAAGTCCTTTCACTTGTCAGATGAGACACACTGCACAGGACCCGGGAAGCCCTAAGCAACGTCTGATGCTCCATCACCAAGAATCAATGCGTTGTCATCAGCAACAGCGGCCTCCTCCACAAGAAGCTGCAATTTCAAAGGTACTAATGGCAAAAGTGGAAAACACAGTAAAAATCACAAAACTAAAGAAGTAACAGCCAGGGAAGCAAATACCAGAGCTGCAGCTCTGGGCCCATAGATCAGGTAGGACCATTTAGTCAAGCCAAATAAAGGCTCTGAAGAAAAGGTCACCTCTCTTCACCCATAGATCTTAAAACAGGGAAAAAAATGCAGATGCTTATACCCAAGGACAACAGTTGCATTGTTCTTACCATTAAAGGATGTTTCATTAATATGCCATGTTTTATATAATGGTTGAATTCAAACTTGCATTAGAGTAGCTGCATTTTTTATACATGTTCAAGACTGAAGCCTTGGAGAAGTAGCAGCACTTCAGTTCTTCTCTAGGTTAAAATGAAGGCTAAACACTAGCTTTTTCATTTTTAAGTTATAATTTCAAAGTATTTCAATCCCTTCTTGGAAGGATATGACTTGTGTGAGGATAAGGTATCACTCTTGCTTTAGCTTACAGATTTCTTCCAGTTTATGAAATATAGAATACAAAATTCCTTATATCCATTGGATCTCCATAACCTTGGCTATTGTCTTTTGCCTCTCTTACATATTTTCATTCTGTAAGCCATATTTTTCCTGCTCCAATTATTTTGCCCTGCCTAATCTTAAAGTCTCTTATTTTTATTAGGGCATCTGGGATCCCAATGCATAATTGACTTGTGCTTTTGGGACAATGTCACCCAAGGCATAACTGGAAAGTCTGGTTTGCACATCAAATAGGATCTCATCTGCAGTGCCAGGCACTTAACCACAGTAGATACGAAGGGGATGCTTCATTTCCAAGTCTTTGTTCCAAAACTCACTGTGCTTCTCTCTCCAATTTTAACTTTTGGACAAGTGAGCAAGCAAAGCTCTCACAATTATGCTCTTGAAGCAGGATGGCTTATATTAAAACCAAATGCAAAGTGCATCAGAGATGAGCATCCTTTGACAGGACAGCAAAGCCTCTGCATATTGATGATAAAAGTTATTAAAAGAACAAAAGTTATCAGAAAGAACACAGTTGTGTAATACAGTTGTATCTGCAAAAATACTTATTGCAAAAGCTGCGTAAGTGGGTTGAACCCTTAAAGGCAATTACTGACTTTGATTACAGTTCAGGTTGGCAATATATTGTTTAGCCTTCTGGGAAATATCCATGAAGAGCTATCTAATTGAGGCTTTACACCTTCCTACTGCCTGTTCCTTGTGCCTTTCATCAGGAAGCTTCAATCCCAGAAAGCCTGGGCTGCTCTCCTGTGAAATCCTGTTACGTTTCTAACATCGTGGTCCGGTTGGAAAACAGCCTTCCCTGCTCGCACACACCTCGGCTGACAGGTAGTCTGCTTGGAGCACCGGGAAAGGAACGGCTTCTTTACACCCTATATCCTACCTAGTGGAATTAGTGCAGCAAGGTAACGTCACAGGCGTTAGGGAAATGCTGTACATCTTTATGGAAAAAAGAAATTCCCAGTGAGGCAGCCAGAACACTGTCTAGCTGAGACAAGCTTGGCCTCGTTCTCCTTTGTCTTGGGATTAAATCTCTTCTGCAGAGTGGCTAGGCAAGGCTCTTCACCCCTTTGAGTTGCCTTACATTTGGGAACATATTGTGGTTCAAATTCTGATTCGGTTTTACACCATCACTTATTTCTGCTCAAACTCCTCCTAAGGTGCTCTTCTGGGGAGTGGAAGAACATCTACAGCTGTATCAGAGCACAGCAATCTCTTGAAACAGTCACATTGATGGGAAGGGGGGATACCAGGGCACTTCCTTTTGAAGGAGCAGCTAAAGCTTGCAAAAATCATTGAAAGATACACCAGGAATTCTTTGAAGCATGTCCTTCAGATATCTGTAAGCAAATTTGATATCTGCAAGCAAATTTGATATCTGCCAAATATTCAGTACACCCTGTAATGCTGCACAGAGTCACTTTCAACACTAATAGTGCACAGTCTCTGCCATTGACATGATCATTTCTCCAGCTGCTGCCTGTAAATCTGTACGCAAGTCATCCTCACACTGACTTAATCTCACAAGTTTCACCAATTATGGACAGAAATTTTGTGCCTTATCAGTCAGGACTTAATTCTGTCGCTTGTTCACTTGGCTTCACCTTGTTGCTCTGCACATCACAGCCAAACTATATCCCAGGGGTCAGTGTATTTTTAATCAGCATTTCACAATCTCTATGAATGGAAAATATTAGATAATGTGTGATTTTTTTTTTTTAAATGAACTGCTGTTCTGTTTCTATAGTAGATTTAGTTCTCACCAGTGCCCAATTCTTACTGATGTGTTAAGTCTAATTAGCAAGTATTCAAATGTGCCATGCATTAATTTGGACACTGCTCAAGTCCCACACTGATTTCATATGAAAATGGATTATTTAAATTTTAAATGTGGCCTGTTCCACCAATTTCAACATATTAAGCAAGCTCATGAGGCATTAAAGCCTTTAACTGCCAGTTGACCCAACAACCCATGATGGGAGAGAATGAACAAAGCTATTTACTTAGTGATGCTCAGAAGCAAGAGCTACCCGCACACTCTGGTTCTTTATGCCTTTAATTTCTCCAAGATTTGGGTAAGCTCCAGGTGCTATTTTTATCAAGACCTGGTACAAAGGCACTAGTCTCCCCTATCTTTCCTACACAGGAGCAGAGCAGGCAGATGACCAGAAGACCAAGACCCCCCTCCAAAGCACCAGAAAAATCACTCCAGCCTTCTCGGGCCAAAGCCACAAAAGACAAATCATCTTGCCTTGCTTCACCTCTTTAAAAGGTAATTAAGTTGCTTGGCTAATGGGCTTTAAATATATCTTTTGGGGTAGTCTAGACACTTGGAGACTGCTTCGCATTGTCCTGAGCAAAATCCCTTGTGCATTTCTGTGCCAGCTGCACTGACAACAAGGTGGAAGCTGAGCCAAGCTCAGAGCAAAGCCAGCCGTGCCACTGCCCTGCTCTCACCATTGCTCACTGCAGTAAAGACTACCAAGTCTGGCTTCTGCTGAAGTTTCTACATCTAATTTTGTGTTAAAATAGGGGAATGACAGCCCAGTCATGTCTGAGCCTTTGGGGTTCATCCACTGCTTCTGACACATAGCCCCATGGACAAGGAAACCCTGTCTAGACAAGGAACATGTGCTGCTGGCCAGCCTGCTCAGGTTAGCATCGACAAAGAAAAAGGCATTTTAGCACATACATTAAAGCACAGTTTGCCTCAGCTAATGTATTTCAGCAATCTAGCACTGACATGGCCTCAGTGACTCGGTCTAGACGAGGCCATAGAGACTCTTTGGAACTAGGGCTGAGCATTTGACATCTTTTTCCCAGAATTACAATAGCTTTATTTTAATTTAGCATGAAAGCACCTTCCAAACAAAGCAACCTGCAAAATAGATGTTTCAAGGTTCACAGAGTTAGCCTGACTCCTCTGGCAACATTTCCTCCTCTGGATTAGGGCAGAAATAAGAGAAAAGCAAATCTCTAAGAAATGAGTAAAATAACTTGGGAGTGAAAAACCACGGGACTCTACGAACCTGGTAAGTAACAAGTGCTGTTAATGCTTTCGTATAAAATTGGGAGATAAAAAACAAACAAAGCAAGGAAAAGAGCTCAGAGAGAAACAGAGTTCTTTTGGCTGGCTAGTCTTTAGGCAGAGTTGACTTCCAAAATGAACAAGGTACCAGGTAAGGAAGCAGCTTGGTGCATTTCTGAAGCGCTGTTCACACTCTGCCCTGCCAGCAGCACCGATTCTGCACCCTCGTGAGTCACGGGAGGCTGTTCACTTCTGCAGGCCCCAAGCCAAACAAATACAAGCGTTCAGTGCAACAGTGGTTCAGTTCAGTGCACACACGCAGCTTGCTGAGGTGCTAAGAGGAAGAGAAATTGTCGGGTGGGGAATTGGAGGTAGGTTTGCTTAGGGCTAAAGAAGAAAACAAGTTCTTCCAGATACCCAGAGAAAGCCCTAGGTTTTGACCAAAAAACCATTTTTCTAGTACAAGTATTTTACTTGCCTCTGTCATATCTAACGCTGAATTTTAAGCCTGATTTTTTTCCCCCTATTTCAAATTTGACATTTCCAAAATTGAAAGTCAAAGTCTTAAAGCAAAAGGCTTTGGCATTTTAGAAGTGCTGTCTTCTTCCCTATCATTTTTAAGCTAAACTTACTGGCAAACTGCATCACTTTTCCTTTGACAAGTCTGGCACGCAGTCTAGTTGGTCAAACACCTACTGCTGAGAGCAGCAGCGGTGCTTTCCTTTTGCAGCCACCCTCCAGGTTTAAGGAATATCACAATACAACACACCATTGGTAATCACGTTTGTGGAGAAATTATAAGTTATCAGGGACTAATATCAGCAGTGCATATCCTAGCTGCAGTCCTGGCTCTCTCACCCAACTCGTCTAGCTTGGCACTGAGCTTTGACCTAAAAGGTGAAGGCTGGAGGAAACAAAGCGCCAAAGCAGATAGATACCAGCCTTAGCAACAGCAACATTTTAGCATTTCCTATGCTCCTCTGCATCACCTGAGTGGAAAATAATAAATAATAAAATAAAAGTCACATGTTAGCTCAGTAGGTGACCCTGGGTGAGCAGGAAGAGGGTTGCACCCAT